AGAATGTCGTCCAGCAGAGCTGTTTCGGGTGGTCCGGGATCTTCTTCAACCGGGAAACCCGGTGGAGGTCCCGGTCTGCTCATCAGCTCGCTGTGATGAGTTTGCCATTCATTTTGAGGAAAAAATCATTCAGATTCGCAGTGGGTTGGACTCCACCGTTACTGCAGAATCAAAGGATGTGTCCAGTGTGCCGTGCTTAGATCAAGTATTAATGAATGAGTTTCAATTTTTGAGACCTGAGGATGTGGGCAGGGTGCTTGGATCTGTCCGTTCTACCATCACTCCACTCCACCCTTGCTCATCTTGGCTAATTGGAAGATCTGCCAGGGGGGTTCGCACCTGTGTCCAGGAGGCCGTGAACGCCTCTTTCAGAGAGGGAGTGGTTCCTACTACCTTGAAAGAGGCAGTAATTCAGCCACTCCTAAAAAAACCTAAACTGGACCCAAGGCTGCTGGTTAACTACCGACCAGTGGTGAACCTCCCTTGTTTGGGCAAAGTGTTGGAGCGGGTTGTGGCCGAGCAACTCCAGGTGCTGCTGGATGAAATGGATTTTCTGTATCCATTTCAATCGGGTTTCAGGCCGGGTTTTGGTAAAGAAAGTGCCTTGGTCGCCCTGTACTATGACCTTTGCTGGGAGAAAGACGGGGAGTGTTGACCCTGTTGATACTCCTGGACCTTTCAGTGGCTTTTGACACCATTGGCCATGACATAAATGCCATGGGACAGACGTGACCTTTTGGATAGGTTGTCTGGGTTGGGAGTTGGGGGCACCGCTTTATGGTGGTTCCGCTCCTTCCTGGCTGACCATGTCCAAAGGGTGGTGCTGGGGCACAGTTGCTCTGTCCTATGGCATTTATGTCATGGGGTTCCCCAGGGGTCAATACTGTTCCCCATGCTGTTTAACATCTACATGAAACCGCTGGGAGAGGTCATCAGGAGGTTTGGCCTGAGGAGTCAGCAATATGCTGACGATATTCAGCTCTGCCTCTCGTTTTCCACCAATCCAGGTGAGGCGGTTTCTGTGCTGAACTCGTGTCTGGACCTGATAATAGACTGGATGAGGGTTAATAAATTGAAACTCAATCCAGACAAGACGGAAGTGCTGATAGTGGGTGCTTTGCCGGACAGGTTGGAGGGCCATTTCCCTGCCCTGAATGGGGTTGCACTCTCCCTAAGGGACAGGGTCCACAGCCTGCGGATGCTCCTGGACCCCAGTCTAACTCTGGAAGCCCAGGTGGACTCAGTGACCACGGGCGCCTTCCTTCAGCTGCAGAAATTATACCAGCGATGGCCCTACCTTGACAAGTGGAGTCTCATGACAGTTGCACACGCACTGGTAACATATTGTATAGATTACTGCAATTACTACATGGGGCTGCCTTTGAAGACGGTCCGGCAACTGCAAGTGGTACAGAATCCAGCTGTGCGGCTGGTGAGTGGTGGGGCCGCTAGGGAACATATCAAGCCGATTCTGTTTAAATTACATTGGCTACCAGTTGCTGCCCGGCCCCAATTCAAAGTGCTTGTTTTGACATATAAAGCCCTCAACGGCTTGGGCCCTGGATACCTGAAGGGCTGCCTCCTTCCATATGAACCTTCCCAGCAGTTAAGATCTAGCCAGGGGGCCCTTTTGAAACAGCTGTCCTTCAAGGAGGTAAGAGGGATGGCTTGTAGTAAAAAGGGCCCTCTCGGCAGCTGCCCACAGACTATAGAACACCATCCCAATTGAGATTCGTCTGGCGCTGATGCTGATGACATTTCGGCGCCAGGTCAAAACCTTCCTGTTCCAGAAGGCTTTTAATTGAAATAATATCAGCTGTGGGTCCTGATGGCAATTTTTAGAATATATATTTTAATTGTTTTATCATCTTTATTGTACTTTATTTATTTATTTATTTATTTATTTTATTTTATTTTATTTTATTTTATTTTATTTTATTTTATTTATATCCCGCCCATCTGGTATATTTATACCACTCTGAGCGGCTATTTTAATTGTTGTAAGCGGCCCAGAGACCTTTGGGTAGTGTGGGCGGCATATAAGTTAGATAAATAAATAAAATAATAAATGAAATGAGGATGGATGGTTCGAAAGGGAAAGATCTAATGGGCACATTATGCATAGCAGACTCACATTTTATTACTTCACATAGGATATTGTATGTTTCAACTACCTCATTTGAAGCAACTTGATTTTTACTATATATTGAAATTAGAATATCAGAACTTGTCTTGTACTGTCAGAAAGAACTAGCTAGATTATGCTTCTTGATATGCCATGTTCAGGCTGGCACAGAGGACAATTTTCAAACATGAGATCCTGTACCTGCAGTCTGAATGACATAACCTAGGAAAAGCTTCTCATATGATTTTTCTGCATGTGGAGCCTGAAACACCTCATTTCCCTGCTTCTACTCCACATCAGACTCAATATGCTCTTAGCTAGATCTCAGAGGCAAAATTTTAACTTACTTTCTTTTTTTTAAAGAATCCACCTGTGCTTCCTGTCCGCCCTGGATCAACATTAATTCCCATTAACAATATCCGTCACCTTCAAGAACATGATGACAATTATGGATATGAATGCCTTGAAGGAAAAGACTGCACCAGCTTCTTTTGTTGCTTTGATGACTGCCGCACAGGATCATGGAGAGAAGGAAGGATACACATTCGAGTGGCTAAAATTGACTCCTACTCTCGAATCTTCTTCCCTACAGCCTTTGCTCTGTTCAACCTTGTTTATTGGATTGGTTACCTGTACCTATAAATATCTGACTGTCTTGAAGATGGGAGAACCGGCACTCCTAAACACATCTCAACAAATAAGACTAAAGGGTTTAAAGCCTGTCATTTTTACCCCTTTTCTTTTTTGTGCTTGATACTTCCAGATGCAAAAATAAAATTGAAAATATTTATAGAACTCTTCTATCCTGGCCATTTACAAAGCTGGTTAAGAATTATTTAGGTTTGTAAAGGGAGAACATGGGTATTTTCTTCTTCATTGTTGAACTAATTTTAATATAGATCAGTGATTTAAAGGCACGACTAGAAGTTCCTTCATAATTTGTTTAAAGAAGGCAATAGGTCAGCTCTGTTGCTACTTAACACCAAAACTGGCAAAGTTTTAAGACGCTGGAAACTGATGCTTTCATGAAAAAATATATTTAAATGCTCTGGAATCTCACACAGACTAATAAGAGTTAAACCAGTTGCAGCCCATTGACAAATACGTACTTCAATGGGATGAATTGCTTCAAAACTGTTCCTCTAGCTTGACCAAATTTGGACAAAGTGAATGCTGGAATTAAAAATCAAATTGTGAATGAGTTATGTTTCCCATTTTTTTAATTAATTAGAAACACCTAGGAGGTGTTTGTTGACTTGATAGCAGTTGGAGTCATGTCATGGGGAGGTTAACTCCCCAGATCACTCCCCCAAAATTGACAGTTACTAGCACCAGAAGGGAGGGGCATTTGTATTGTATTTAACCCCACACTGTTTTCTGCCTAATAGAAGCCTTGGAATAGATGAGAGACCTCCTTCAGGGGGTCCCCACATCATAACTCACTTATCTCTCTGTTTTCTGCTTTTAAGGCTAATAAAACATATCAGGGCATTCGGATATGGATCTTCCATGTCCCATGTTTTATCCTGAAGTGGGATTGCTAATTGAATAGACCCTCTCATATTTTAAATAATTTGTCTATTGAATCAAGCCATATCCTCTGGAAATGTGACATAACCTGAACAGAATATTCCACTGTCTCATGCTGTGTCAAAGAGAGGACAGCAGCATGCAATCAGCCTATTATGTAACGTGATATTTCTGAGCTTGTTGTGTCCTTTATGTCACATGTGTAAAATGTTCACAATTTTTGGTTTGTTTGTTTTTTTAAAAAGTTGTTATCTGCCATAGCCTTTGAGAGATTCTGGGCATTTCTATTTGAATACAACAAAATACAGGTGATCCCTGGTTCCAGTCATCTGCAATATACTGTAAATTGAAGTCCGATAGAACAATTCTCAGGCCTGAATCCTGTCTTATTTTAAGTCAGCTTTGCACAACATGCTTATGTTATTTCTGACCATTGGCCATACTGGTTGCTGATGATGGAAAATATAGGTGGAAGGTGCTGAACCACGTAATGCTCTGTTGACTATAGTGAATTCATATGAGAGAGGAGAAAAGAATCATTTCAGCATAGAGGCAGTGTTGCAGAATGTGTTCTAAATATATTTTTCAAACATTATTATTAAGATCTACTATGTTTCATGTTGGCTTACTCTTTTTCAGGTGTAGCCAAATTAGTTGAGACACCTCAGTCTCAATCAATCTTTACTATTTGTCATGTCTGGCTATATGATACAATCCTATTTACTATGAAGTTTTGTGTCATTAAATAAAATGGCTGAAATCCTGCTGCTCAACTCTGTGGGTGTAATCTAAAATTTAAAGTTTCCTATCCCACCCACACTTACCCCTGGTTCTGAAGCTCAGTAGGGAACACAGTCAACCAGGGGAGGTCTGTAGGAACCTTGGGGAGGCAGCAATTCTTGGATGTTAAAGGCTTCCCTCAACCCTGAAGGTTCCAAAGGCTTCCCAAGGTTGAAATGATTTCCTAGGGAGCCTTGGAATTTGAGGGGGCTGGATGGAAATTTTAAATTAAAGATTAACATTGTGGCTGACATCATCAAACATATGAACTGCCCACCTCTGCCAACAGGATTTCACCTGCTGTGTTGGCACTTACCAGAAAATCCACATTAACAACAATGTATATTGTCAAATATTTCTTCTATATTCCAAGATAAATTTCAACTAAGTGTGAACAGAATGGAAACAAGTGCAGCATAGTGCTTAAAGGATGTTGCTGTAACCCAGAAACATCCACAATTGAAATCCTTCTATAGTTACTTGATTCATTAAACAGTCTTAGATAAGCAACCATTTCTCAGTCTTAGAGCTCAGTTTACAATATGCAGTAATAATGCCAGCTGTCTTTAAAGATCTGCTGTAGGAATTACTGAAGTAATATCTCTTTTCAGCAGCCCAGTATGACAACTCTTGTTATATTATACTCTTCCTTGAGATAAATTCAGTCACAGAATTTAGAAAAGCTACCAAGCCCTGATTTCTTTTACAGTGCCTTGGGATATATGCTAAAAATGTTAAAATAAATTATAATAATCCTTTTTAGCAATGATTTGAAATAAATCTTCAATATAATGTGGGAGACGCAAATTACCACTGAATGGCACTGTGTTGCAATTCCCTATTTCTGCTGGGCTAGCCATGAGATTTGCCACACTTTAAACATATTTGCTGCTCTTCTAAACACTCTCCTTAGATAAAGCAACAGGATCTCATGAACAGTTTACTGTCAGCACTCAGGTTCTCTGAGTCTTGTACAGTAGTTAACTGGAGGTTGGCAGGTTGGCCAGAGACAACCCCCAAGCCCATCTGAAGTTCTGCCAGACAGGATTGCAGAGAAAACTAAAGTTCTATAGACTATTTAAAACAACAACAACTCAGAGCAGATCTGGTGAAACTCCTTGATTTTATGATATTTCCAGATTAATTTTGTTTACTAATCCCAGACATTTGGGAACTTGCCATTCCTATGTTCAGCTACACTCTCCTTAGTGCCTTTGAGGATGTATGCCTTTTGAGACTTCTGGCAACTTTTTGCTTATATAAGCCTTTTCTGTTCCACCTTATTCTACTGTCATTATGACTTGGATGGGATCTGATGAAGGAACAGCAAATGTGTTCAATGCAGAGACATTTTCTCTACCATAGCTGTCTAAATCCTGGCAGGAGACCACATTAAACAGGATCTTACATGGCAGGTGTAATTTTTGGGATGCATCTAAAGAGGAAACATGAAATGACCCACTGGTGAGTAGCTGTGCCTCTGTGGATAAAGATCAAACAGCTCCCATCATGTTCACATAGGTTTTTTTTAAAAAAAATTATTGCAGACCAGCACAGAGTACTCACCCCCTAGACTTCCTTATGAATAGGAATTGGAGAGCAGTATCTACAGCTTGACTGAATATATATATGTTTTGTTTGCTTCAAAAATGCATAATGTACAAATGGAAGTTGCTTCCCCACAAACTCAGGGACATACTTGGATTGACCATGGCCCAATGGTTAATTATCTGCTGTAATTTGAAGATGCACACTTTCCCTTAATATTTTCTGTTTACCATGGAAAAATGGATAGAACATAGGTGCACTTGTAATGCTCTAAACAAGACATACAGGGAATGTGGCAAATATTCATGAAAGGCATGGCTGGAAAAGAATAGTTAAACATGCAGGGAAACAGTTTATCTCTTGGATTCTGGACTCATTCACTAACAATAGCTTGGTTTAATGTTTTGTATAAATTGGTCTGTTGTACTAGTGTTTTGTGACCCGAGCGCAATCTCTTTGATGTGACTGGAAATTATTTGTGTTCAGAAATCTCTGGCTATGTACAGGCAGGGAATTTGTCTGGTTTCCCCTTCTGTCTGGTGGAGAGTTCCACAAACTCATTGTCTTCAATATTATTTAACGGAGAGAAACTACTCTAATAAAAGATACTAATTTATCTATTCTGATTTGCAATCTGTATTGTAATGCACCATGACCATCTGTAGGAGCAGAGGGGCTGAAACCTTTGACATTTGGGGTGTTTTCTGGCTGCTGTTTCAGCTCCACAGTGCTAGCAGGGGAGTGGGAACCAAGCAAGCAAAAGGGACTAATGAACAAGATATGAAAGGACTGGGAGAAAAGCAGAAGGACGTTTAAGTAGCAGATGTTAGCCACAGGGAAGTAGAGTTATAAGATGGGTATGAGGCTAAGAATGAAGTTGAGTAAGGAGTGGTCTATATATCATGGATTAAACAGGTGGGTTTTGTAAACTAATGAGGATCCAAATTCTCTCACATCTCATTTTCACAGCCCAATGAGAAATTGCACTTATTGTGATTTTGTGAGACTTTTGCAAGACAATAACTTCTTATTCTTCCCTGAGAAAATCTGGGCAGAACACTAGGTGATAGAGATAAGTGAAAACTATACCTATATAGTATATAAACACACCAAGAAAATTGACTTTAAATAAAGCACTTTTCTTTTCAATGACCACGACAACCATTGCCACTCAGTTCAATATTACACACAGCACAATCGAATTTCAGTTCAGGCACCAGCACCAACATTGTTGCTCATGTGAAGGATAGAAAAGAATAGAAATAACATCTTCTGATAAAGTAGCCATCTGACCTTAATTGGAACATTATGTCCTAAGGGACATTTCATTAAGAGAAGCCTCTGGAAAGGGTTAGTAAGGTGAAAGATAGAGAAGTGAGTGAATTCATTTTAGCTGAGCTGAAATAAACTTTGTGTAGATAAACAAGTCTTTTTAACTATGTTATTTACATGTATTTTACTTTATTTTTTTTTACACAATTTTAGCCATGGGATGGGGAAAATGGCCGATATCTGCTCTCCCATCAGAGTTAGGGAATGTCAAAGGGGCTGAGAATTCCTCGTTGGGGGACTCATTGAGGATTCATGCAATTGATGAGAATGAGCAATTTTGTGAGTATTCTTTTAACCTTTATGATGACAGAGCTGGAAGTAGTAGGTGAGCTCCTCTGCCCCCTCAAGATCATCAATCATCAGTAGTCCTCAGGACTGGAAGTAAAAGAAGAAGGCTGGAAGGTGGATGAGGAAAAGAAAACAGTACAACAGTCGGAGAGGTGAGGTCTGCTGTAGTCAGTAATGATATCTATTGGTAATTCATAATGCATAGCCTTTCTGATTACTTAGGCTTTTAATCTGCATGCCAGAGCTAAAAAAGAAACTATTTACTATTTCAAAACAAAACAAAATACTGATGAAATTTCAGGAATGTCTGCAAAAATGTTGACTACTCAGTTACATTGTCTTCTGATTTATGTGTTAACCTTTTTGGGTGCCTTCATAGAAAAGATCAGTCTACATCCCAATCCCAAAGAAGGGCAGTGCCAAAGAATGTTCCAACTACCGCACAATTGCACTCATTTCACACGCTAGCAAGGTTATGCTCAAAATCCTACAAGGCAAGCTTCAGCAGTATGTGGACCAAGAACTCCCAGTAGTGCAAGCTGGATTTCGAAGGGTCAGAGAAACTAGAGACCAAATTGCTAACATGCGCTGGATTATGGAGAAAGCCAGAGAGTTCCAGAAAGACATCTACTTCTGCTTCATTGACTATGCAAAAGCCTTTGACTATGTGGACCACAGCAAACTGTGGCAAGTTCTTAAAGAAATGGGAGTGCCTGACAACCTTATCTATCTCCTGAGAAATCTCTATGTGGGACAGGAAGCAACAGTTAGAACTGGATATGGAACAACTGATTGGTTCAAAATTGGGAAAAGAGTATGACAAGGCTGTATATTGTCTCCTTGCTTATTTGAACCATGGCAGTAGAGTGTCTTAATGTAGATTGTCAATATCAATCTGAGAACTACAGAGCTTGAAGGGATGTTATGGCTCATCGAGTCCAGCCTCTGTCGAGGAGTCACTTGGCCATTAAACCACATTGACTGGTCATTAAACCACATTGATTGGAGATACTGGGCCATTAAACCACATTCAACATGTGAATTTTATTAGATACACAATAATGTATGAGAAGACATTTAATGATTGCATTGGGGAATAGTGAAGATTACAGTGCAGCTGCGTAAGTGGCAAAGAATAAGTAATAAAAAGTTAATAGATATTAAAATACATTTGCTTCAAAAATACTATGGGCAAAATGCAAACTCACAAGGGTAGCTGTGGGAGGAGAGGTGGTCTAAAATGCTGTTACAAGGCCTAGTTCAGCTACAGAGGTCTAGATTCAAATTCAAAGGGTCAGGCAGTGCAAACAGAAATGTGGTGGCTGTTACAAATACAGTAGTACCTTGGTTTATGAAATTAATGTGTTCTTCAGAATGTTACGTAATGTGGAAATTTCGTTAACCGAAATGCGGATTGCCATAGGAATGGAAGTGGCGCTACAAACCTACAGGCACAATGCATCCCGGGGAAACTTCCTTCACAAACCGAAAAAAAAACGTGAGGAAAACATAAACTGAGGCATTGTTTTTAACGGATTTTGGTTCATAAACCGAAAATTACTTTAACTGAGGCATCTGTAAACCGAGGTACACCTGTAGAAGAAAGGACCTTGCCCTGTGCTAGATACACAATCACAAGGCAGAGGGGGAAATACATGGGAGTAGTTGCTACCATATAGAGAAAGGAAGGCAACCAGCTGTTTCTCTGGCCTTGTCTTTAAATATGCTGAAGAAGATATGCAAAGCACAAGAAGCAAAGAAACAACAGTTCAATGAAAAATCAGTGTACCAATTCTTAATTAATATTTTTCTCTTTCTAAGAACAATGTAGTTCTTTCTCTTCCTACACCAACATTATTAATATAGCTGCGACAAGTGTGGCTTTTCCAAGGGTTTTATTATAGCTAAACAATACCTTCTGACAATGTTATCCAGCTCTCCTCTTGGACTGGTTAATCATTTCTTCTACAGTAACAAATGTTTCTAGGTGAAGCTGGTGTCTTTATCTGAGCAGCCAATAGATTCTGGATTTCTGTCGGAATCCATAGGTTCCTGCTCCCTGATAGTCATAATTCAACAAGAACTATCCGGTAGACCTCTGCCACGGATTTTTGGGGCATACATTCATAATTTTGCTGCATTGTCCACAAGACATTGGTGCCTGCCTGAAGAAGTGAATTTACAATATACTGATTGTTTTGAATTTTTTTAGTGGTCTGATAAAAGCATCACCTTCTGCATTTGTATTGTACAAGGACCACACAACTGTCTTGATTATTGCTTTATCTTATAGTGGTAATTTGCTTTGATCTTTTTTTTAAGAAACCAGACAACATTCAGGAGAGCAAGAAACATCCAAGTCCTGCTTCTTGGTCCAATACCAGGGCTCCTCTTTTTTTTCCTTAGCTGGGTTGGAGCGATCAGCCTGAAGGGCATGTGGACAGAAGAGTCACTTTAAAGCAGGGGTGAGCAATTAATTTCTATAGGGGAGCCAGATGAAAAATCCGAACTATGTTCAGGGATCGAACCAACTTTACTTAAAAATAAAATGAAACAGTGATGTTATACTGTAATTGTTTTTATTTTAAACTTGTTAATCTTCACAAATACTAAAGAGTTTTTTTGCAGTATGTTAAAGATAAGCAACTGATCAACTTTAGACAAAAAGCTATACATGGTTTTGATGTTCAATTTGTTCAGTGAGAGAAATCCAGTCTGTCTTGGGCTTGAACAAGTGGTTGAACACCAGACTGGAGCAACAATCGGCGAGCTGGACAGGAGCGGCTCACAGATCGTATGTGGCCCCCGGGCCGCACTTTGCCCAGGTCTGCTTTAAAGGGTCACTTTGAAGATCACACCCAGTGAAGTGACCCTTTTCTTATATCACTGATCACATCCTGATGCAAACCACGTCATATGTGCTGAACATTACTGAGAGTACAGAAATTATGCTTTAATTAAAGTTAAAGGATGAACCAATGTCATAAATGTGTGCTCACAGCATTTGGAAGAAACTCGGAAATGAAACTTTCATATATGTGTGGACTTCTTATCACGACAGATGAAACTGCGTGTCTTCCAAATTTCATGGGTCTGAAAGCTGCTTCAAACTTTCCAGAAAAATTACCCTGCATTTTCCATCCCTTACTTCCCTCCCATTCTTAGTCTTTTCTACTATCAACTTGTTTGACTAGGAGTACCTCAAGGTATACTCCCTTTCTTTTGTTTCTTCTATAAATACCGTGTATGCTGATCAGTCTATATACTGTATAATATGCATTTTATAGTTTTTACCTACTAGCACATTCTGTACCCCTGCTTGGATTCCCAGTGTGGTGTAATGAAGAGTGATGGACTAGGACTGTGGAGACCAGGGCTCAAATCCCCACTTGGCCATGGAAAGTCACTGGGGAGTGAAACTGGTAAAACCATTCCTTAAATATCTCACTCACCTTGAAAGCCCTATTAGGGCCCCTGTAAGTCAGGTCCTACTTGACAGCATAGAAAACACACACACACACACACACCACACACACACACACACACACACACACACACACACACACACACACACACACATCTGCGCGCAACACACATGCGCAAATATTTTTGACCAAAAGATAGTGAAAGGCATACTGTGCTCAGGGAGTTCTCACCAAGTTTGGGTACATGTTCCTGCCTTCAGATAAGACCTAGAGCCACAGATGTATAAACAAATTGTTCTTCCTTCCTCGGTACAGTGGGGTCTCTACTTAAGAACTTAATCCGTATTGGAAGGTGGTTCTCAAGTTGAAAAGTTCTTATATTGAATCTGCATTTCCCATAGGAATGCATTGAAAACCATTTAATCCGTATCTGCTCTTTTCCGTCCATAGAAACTACAGTGGAACCTCTACTTAAGAACTTGATCCGTTTTGGAATGGTGTTCTTAAGTTGAAACATTCTTAAGTTGAATCAAAA